TCTGTATGCGCTAGATGTACGTTTTCTAAAACTGAGCAAGGCGCAAAACCAATACATGTACACAGGCACATAGACTACCAACTCTTGTCCTATGGCTACCATTTTCTAAATTTAGTAATCAGGTCAGTGGATTACCCAAAAGAATCCATGCACTCAAGTTTATGTTTAATCTATGTTTCAAGTTTCATTGAAATCTGATGAGTGATTCTTTATATATATATATATATATATATATATATATTGGTGGACAAGCTAAAAAATTAGATAATTATTATGCAAATAAGGTAATTAATAAGCACCAATTTCAACATCAAACTAATCAGGTCTGTGCATTTTCACAGTACAAATATGTACGAACTTTCATTGATTAGCCCACCCACAAGTTAGCCGGATTTTACATGTCGAGGCTCCTGGGCTTATGATTGGTAAATACAAAGTATCATTGAATTGAAAAAGTTAATATATAAATTATGCATGGACTTCAACCCAAACCATATCTGCACATTGTATGTAAATGCCAAGTTTCATTGAAATGTGATGATAAGTTCTTGAGATATTGGTGGAAAACCTACAAATTTAGCTATGCAAGGTAACTGACAAAAAGTCAATGAGTATTAATTACCTTCATCATTATATTCATATATATCAAATATGATTTCTTTGAATGTTTCGGCAATAGTTGCAAGTAATATCTTCTGTTCTTTTAGACTTTCAGTAATTCCAAGAAGCCTTCTAACAAGTTTTATAACCCAGGACATACTGTATTGTTCTTTGGTTGTAACCTAGTGATTAATAATGAAATGTGTTTGGGGATTTCATTAATGATTAAATAATGAAATAATTAGGGAAGCATGTTGTTACTCAACATGCACAATTTGCCTACCTCAGTCAGCTATCGCTTGAGTTGCTGGGAGAAAAGTAACGACATGATTGTTAATGAAAGCACTTCAATTAATTCACAGGATTCTCACATGCAATAATCAAACTCTGGCATAACAATATAAACTTTTTCTTGCCATAACTTACCACTGATAAAGACACAATGAGTTGAGATAGTTCTTGGTAGTGTCCATTTATTACTTTACTTCCCATTACTTTAATACAGATTGTATCCCCACATAACATCAACAACTTGGATACATTTTCAGTTACCCATTCATCTGGCAAAGCTAAGAATGGAATAGAAATGTTTTTGTTGCATCCATTCAGAAAGAAAAAAAAATTCTTGTATAAAACATTTGAAATTGGAATAGGAAATAATTAAATTAATAATTAACTTATTTGTGATTGGTTATGCTTGATAAATACTGACATAAAGGATCCGCAACAACAGTATGTGCTATGTATATTTGCCTGTGTTTTAATCGTTATAACATTTTTTTTTTCTCTAAATCTCTGAAGTATTTCAGATCTCTGTGACTTTCTCATACAATGCTCGTCTTTCTGTTTTACACTTTTCGCACGTTGTAAGGAAGTGCATTTCGTCTTTTGATTTGGGTAGCCGATTGTTGGATATTTATGCCTGTCTCTTACTATCTGTAAATTATATGAACTTCGCCTTAGTCTTGACATAAAGACAATCTACTCCCTGTTTGTTTAATTAATGTATATTCTGCTAATTTTATTTTTCTATTCAATAATTGGAATATCCTTAGTTTGAGTATATTCCATTATCTTAATTCCAACTCATTGTGTAGTATTCTTGATATAAGCCCAGAGCTATGTAGATGATTATATTGTACATGTATTTTATGCTTGTTAGACCCTGACATGCACTTTTGGTTCTTCATGTTAGCTCTAAATAATATGGCTATTATAACATGAAAGCTTATCATACAATTGTTATACATGTTAGCTTTTCACATTTTGTTGGTTTGACTAATAATACTGTTGGGAAGGTTGTTGCAGGTTATGTAAGGCACGTACATTTGGCAAGTTAAGCATGTTAGCTACCAGTATTCACACTTGGCACATTCAAAAACATGCCTGCGAGGTTGTTGCAGGTTACACAAGTTACGCAGGTTAGACACATTAAGCAGGTTATGCATGTTTGCTCTTGGCAAGTTTCAAAAAATTTCATGTTGAGGAGGTTGCAGGTTACACAGGTTTGACACATTAGGTATACACGTTGGACATGTTTGAAACCAAAATATCTGGGATGCAGTTGCAGGTTATTACATAGGTTGGGCATTCTAGACATGTAAGGTATGTTAGCTATGAGTATTCAGGTTTGACATGTTTGAAAACGACAATGTCTGGGAGGTGGTTGAAGGTTATGCAGGTTGGACATGTTAGGCAGGTTATGCACATTAGTTTTCATGTTTGGCATGTTTGAAAACCATGCTGTCTGGGGGGTTGGTAACTAATTTATGATATTATGTAAATGACTGATGGATTCCTTCCCCCAAATAAGCTTGATTCTATAGGAATGCTACAGGGAAAACACTGTCTTATTTTGACACAACACCCTATAAGATTCTAATAATATTTTAACACAACATCCTATGGGATAAATTCCTGTTAGATTCATGTAATATTTTGACACAAAATATATGTCAAAATATTATAGGAATCCTACAGGAAGTATGTAGAGGTCTATACGAATCTTTCGTAAGGGTGTAAACAAAAGTAATAAGACAAATTAGCTATTTAATATCCACGACCATGACTTAAAAACTAATAATGTCTGCACATTACCCCAAGGTACATATGTACTACATTTGATCAAAATCCGCTCTGCTTTTGAGATTTTGCTTACACAGGATGAAATGAGATAATTAATATGCAAATTAGCTACTTGGCCCCCACAGACAGACATGGCCCCAAACTAATCATGTCTGCGTATTATCCCAAGGTATACATTCCTATGTACCAAATTGATCAAAATTCTCTTCATACCATGAAAAACAAATAACAGAAAAGAAAGAGGTTTACAACTTTGTCAAAGGGGTATCCATTTTCTATGTTTTGAAAGGAATGTGGTTCCTGGGGTACTGGTACATGATACATTACAGCAGTTCTGAGAATTATTCGGACAGTCAGTTAGCAATTATCTTGTAACTTTGCAAAACATTTGGGTCTTTTCCAATCTCGACTTAATAGTGTTGTTGTATTGGCACGCCCACAATTGGGATCAATCCATCATCTTGCTAGATGCTGGTAAAACGCTGATTTCAAAACGACATGTGTTGGTTACCATACATTAACAGGTTATATGTTGTATATGCATTCAAAGTGTTATTTTAAATTGTTATAATCATCTGAGTCCACCTGACATAGCGTAATTTACGAAACAACTCCTATGTATCAAATTCAGATTTTATATCGAGGTGGGAGAGTACGTCAAGGATACACTAACGAAAAACTTGATTACCAGTATAATGGTTTGATGGACTCAAATCAAAAGTGCCTTCCTTGAGCGAATCACTTTTTCTACTGCAGTTTGAAAATGACGGGGTATAAAGACCGTTATTATGTCTAGTCCATTTTTGTAACAGGTACAAGTGACTAAAATGAGTGAGGGGTTGACATTTTTCGACAAATTTAAGTAACACCAACTTGAGATTTTTAAAATTACTGAAAATAGTTACAATATGAATATAAAAAATAAATAATGGTTGCAGTAAACACACACTAGATAATACTTGCAATTCACCATGCCGACAACCCCTATGAAATGGTAATCCCAAACCACATGCACGTCAATCAAGTGACAAGTCTGGATTGGGCAAAGACCAAAGTGTTTTGCAAAGTTGCAAGTAATTTTGCTAACTGACAAATAATTCTCAGAGCTGCTGTAAAAGATCACTTGGCTCCAAAACAAGTCGCATTGTGACTTTTTCAAAATTGTGGATCACTGCCAATACACACTTCACAAGTAGTAGAGCTATATCAGGAAAGAAGTCTTTCTGGTCCATACATAATATTATATATTCAAATATTTACCAGTTAGTTCTTCAATAACACTAATAATGTCATCTTCACTCCACTCTTTACAGTTATATAGCATTTTGAGTGCTAGCGCCAACTCTGCCAATTGTGTTGTTAGTGAAGTAGCTGAAGATCCTGGAGTGGAATCAGTCATTTCATACCATAAAATAGCATCTGAAATAAATATACCCATTGAGATCAACTACCATATTTCATGAGCCACTTGTTAATATTGTTAATTCTTAAGGTTTGTAGAGGAATTACAGCAGTTGCATTCATTGGGACCCAGTTAGAACTCACTAAATTCATGTCGAAACCACACCCTAGTAGTCAACAAGAACACAGTGGTTACAGTACTTATCCAAGGCCTTACAGATTTTACAGAATAGAAAATATCAGTTGAGTTCAAATAAAAACAAGCAGCCTGTCTGAGATAGCTCCGCTGTTAGCAATACACATTTCAATTAAAGAACTGAAGATACTGATATCAATAGAAAATGAACAATATGTATAGTATCAAAGCAATCAGAGTTGCTGTTTTCAACAAGAATTCAAAAATATCACTTTTTACCAAAAATAACAAAAATAATCATTAAAATTAGATAATTGAAGATATCATCATGAAATGAACAAATCTAAGAGAGGTGTACCCAAGGCACATATACACCAAGTATCAAAGCATTTACGCTTGTAGTTTTCAAGAAGAAGTCGAAAAAGTAAAAAGTTGACACGAACAACAACGGACTATCACTCATATGATAACAAAGAATGCTTCAAATGAATTTCTGTGTACGGGGAGTACTTATTAGTATTTGAAGATAACACGAACAAGAAGCCTGGCAACTAATATGGCTATGATCTTTCAGATGCACAATGATTTCTAATTTGTTGCTGACCCAAGAAGAATTGAACATGATTTGTACAGATATATTTCAAGCTGATCTTTATACATACACACAACCAGAATCAAAAGTAAATAGATTTTCCACCTACACCAGATTTTAATCAGATTGATCTCCCTAGAGATGCAGTTTATTTGGCTTGCTTTTC